GGATTATTCCTCACAAGGAGCAAGTAGACTTATAAATAAGTAGATTATTTTATTTTTAGTGTTTCAAAACACCATTTTAGAATGACAGAATACTGCATCACTAAAACATCTTTGTGTATCTCAACAAGGTGACCCAAATAACAAAAATCACCCACTGCTCTAGTAATAGGCTGCTGACTCTTGAAGATTTCTTAAAGCTGCTTGGCAGGTTGTGCAGTTCTGCAGCCAAGCACATTTTTAAATGGATGCGACTAATATTATATAGGTCTTTTTGGGATTCAGCAATTTTAGATGAGGTGGTCACCTGAGCATAGTGCTTCTTGAACATATAAATGAGAGTGGTGTATGCATGTGCGCCCTGAAAATGGGAATGTTTGGTTTATGATGAAGCCATCGATTTTTCTGAAAAGTGCTCTTTACAGACTCAGTAGCGTTTTCCTGATGCCTTGCTGAGGGACAGGAGGAAACCCTTGTGTTAGCTTGGCCAGTTAAAATCCTTTCCTGTATTCTCATGTATTCGTATATATGTTTTAGCCCATTTCGCTCTGAATATGGGACAGAAAAGTGTGTTTGCATAAGTCACAGAGGTTGGAAGTTATTTGTTAAACACAGAGAATTTTTCGCCGCCACATGATGGCAGCAAAATCCTGCTCAGGAGTAGGAGCCTCCGTAGTCCTCTAGGTTTTGGGATTTGCTTCTCTTCCCTCTCCCCACCCTTTTATAAGGAGAGCTAAAAGGGTCGTTTTAAAATACTCTGGAGATAATGGAACCGTGGGTACTGTTAATGCGTTAATTCCAGTAAAGCTGCATCTTCTAAGAATGCATCCTCCAGTTCATTAGCTAGTGCATGCTGTTTGGGTTTTAAGTTTTTAGTATGTTTATCTTTGCTCTGAAATGTACTAGGCTTACAAATTAGCAGTTTACATGCTTGTTAACCAAATAAAACCTGAATACAAAGAAGTCAGAGTGTACTGAGTGGATCCCATTCTTACACCTGAATAAGACGGTGTTCGTAACTTCCTACCTTAACATTCCCCACAGTGCTACTGGTAACATGATTTACAAGGCCTTTCTGTCCGTCTGTAGTTTCTAACTTAATGAACTTAATATATAGCACTGCTCATTTTGTAGTCTATTGCAAAACTTTAATGGTGATCTTGTATCCTTTTCTATTTTGTCAGTAAATCTGTACATCCAGCTTTCACATTTACAAAATTTGGGCATTCTGTCTCATTACCCTTAGTGGTGGTGTCATTGCTAGTTAAAACAAATACCCCAAATCTCCCCTAAATCCTGTTATATGAGTAGCAAAATAAAGAGGACAAAGAGGAAGGTGCCTTTTTTTTTTTACTGTGACTGTTGGGACATTGCTTACAAGGTTCCTTGTCCTTTCTCCTATATGCAGGTTAACATGAAGTTTAGCCAAGACCTGCAAAACAACTTTATTAATGGGAAATTATTTGTGATGGGCCTGTATTATGAGCTTACCTTGAGAGGTGTTCAGATGCAGGCTAGCTAACCCTTAACAAAGAGGATGATTTAGGCTGGACTATATTTGAATGGCTTGGGCCAAGTTATCAGTGGTAGAAGGCAACTGTCCTCAACTAATCAGAGAGAGAGAGAAGGAAGATTTTTCCAGTGCTAAGTGGTTGTACTAAAACATTCTGAGTGCTACATGATTGCTCAGCTAGCTGATGTTTACTCTGTGTTCTTACAAAACTGAATTATGAGGCAGAAAAAAGTTCCTGACTTTATAGCCAGTTATCGGTAGAGGGTGCAATGTAGCTTTTGCATTTGGGCCTCATAGGCTGTATGTTTACCAAAGATATTTTTAGTTAATAATCTATTATTCAAAATTTAGTTCAATTATACCTTTGCTTACATTAGCAGTGCAGTTTACTGCAGTAGATCTTGATAACATTAATTTGATTCTGCAAATGAACAGATTTTCAATTTAGCAAGATTCCATGTTATGCTGTGATCAGCTCTGTTATAATGATTTTATGACGAGAGAGTGTTTGCTCCTATTTATGTATGGTAATAAATTTATGGAATCTAGTTTACAGGCTTACAAAAACACAAACACCATCAGCCCATTTCTTACTGGTATTTGCTGTCAGTGTGATAACAATGTCACCAGATGAGACATACAGCTTCTACGTAGCTGTGGAAGGGTTCCAGAATCAGGGTGTAGCAAGTGAATGTCATAAGAAGGTTGTGTGGAAAACAGAGGTAAGGAGGAAAAAGCAGCAAACAAGAGCTGAAGGGAATGGAAGATGAGGAAGGAGTAAGAGGATACAGGGAGATGAGGATGATAAATAAAAGGTTTAGGAGGCAGATGAAGACCAGGTGACAGCTTGTGACTTTGGAATTGTTGCTTTGCTAGCTCCACTTTCCCAACTTCTCTGCTCTAATTGCTTTTTGAGGCCTATGAGGCTTCCTGTTTCCCCCAGTGTCCCAGCTGCTTGTGGGCTTTTCTGCTGGTGGCTGATAGGTGCAGCTATGAAGTTTTTCTGTAAATGCAAAATAGACTATGGGCTCTCTCGGCTTTTTTTGTTATCTTCAAGTCTGGTGGGAGATTATTGGAACTCTTAAGATTATTCTTGGAAGAAGCCTTATGAGTAAAAGAATTTTGATTTCTGAGAACTGATAGAGTACCAGGTGAGTATCTTGGCTTGTCTAATCTGTCCTTTGGCATTTCCATTCTTGGTAAACATGGAATGGAGTACATGGTCCCATCTAGAAATATTCTTGACTCCACTTGGCTTTTGTAGGAAGATAGTTAAAGATGCAGAAAGTTATTGGAGATTAACTCTACATTTAGGAAGGCACAAGCAGCTACTGTTCTATTCCCCTGATCTTTTGTTGGGTTGCCTTTTGGGCAGGAATTGCCAGGGTAGTGTTCCTGCATAACCTGGGCTACACTTGCCTTTTCTCTGCTGTGAACAGGGAGTCCCAGGGTTGCACCCACAGTGACAAGGAACTGGACAGCTCATCCTGAGGAAACAAAACAAAAACAATCCATTGCTTTCCTTCAAGCTGGACAAGGTCACCCTTGAGCAGGGCACTTCAAAACAAGCCAAAGGCATGGCTGTCCTCTATAGTCTTTATCTGTGTGAATCTTCCTCCTGGGAGTCATGCCTCTAGGCTTCCTCCCCTTTCTTCCTGCCTAAATCTTTTGATTGAGATCCAGGATCTTGGATCCGTTCCCATGCCCTCTGTACTCTCTTATAGTTTTTACTGCTGACAAGGTGCTAAACAGGACCCACAAAGAATATTCTTCTGGAGGGTTGCCTTGTGGCTGGGACACCGAGTGGGTTGTGTTAGACCAAGTCCTCACTCACTAGGAAGTCCAAAGGGAAAATAGAGCTGTCCTGACTTTGTGGAGCAGATCATGCTTCTGCCTGTAGCAGGAGAAGTGGGGAATGCAGGGGAAACCATTAAGATCAGGAAGATGGGGTGCTGTCATTTCTATTCAACTAGTAACTCTGCCGAAGTGGCAGATGGTGAATTGTACTTCTGGGATCCAAGCCTGATAGCAATCAAGGCTCTGAAAAAACTAAACTATCTGGCTTGGAGACCCTCAGCAGGATGGCTCCTTTGGTGACATCTGGAGGCTGCTGATGTGCCTGTCGGTCCAGGCAGATCTAGCAAGTCCTGGAGGGAAGAAGGAGAGAGTGTGCATGTTTCAAACTGTTGGTGTGACTCTTCAGCCCTGCTTTTAAGCAATTCGGACATCGAACCTTATCACAGCACAGTGTTAGCCTCTGCAGCTTAACTTATCAACTACAAATGTGTGGGACAGCCACAATTTTAAAATGCCTTTTAAAATGAGTTTAACAAGTGTTAGGTTGCAGTCTTTGGGAAGTGGTGCCCACAGGCTAGGAAGGATGTGTTATCTCAAATTAGTAAGGTGGCTTGGGGGCAAGCATTAAGGGTATACAAAATGAGAGTTTTATTCTTTGTCCTGCTGCCAGGTTCCTGGCTGACTGTAGACAGATCACTGTAGTTTCTTCTTACTTGTCTTTCCTTTATGCAAAATAGAAACAATAGGTATTGACTACCTTGTATGAGCACCAGGGTGCTTTCACGTCATTTAGATACAAAAATAGTAAGAGCTAAGGCAAGCATCTAGAGGCAGAGGAGTAATGAGCATAAAGCAGGGTGCCTGATGTATAAATCCCATTTGGCAAAGAATAAACAAGAAGTATTCAAAATAGATCTTTTCCTCAAGTAACAATTATTTCATTTCAGTATAGCTCCTACTGAGACCGCATCAGTCATGCCGTGATAGCATACCATTGCTGCAGCCATACAGGTGTCGCTGCAGTATGTGCAGATTTCCTCAAGTACTGTATCTACAACATAAAAGAGTAAACATGGGAAAAAGGGAAAAAATATCATCTTGCCCAGGGTTCTCCCAGGGTGAGTTTACATTCACTACAGGGAATATCTGAGTCTGAACTAGCCTTATGTTGACTAGATCATGTATTGTTGTCATCTTGCTAGGACAGACAGAAGCTCTTGTAGCCCAAATTCTCAGTAGGGTAAATTACTACTTGCTGAGTTCAGTGCAGGTGAGGTCAGAGTAGCTTGGTACCTAAACGAGCTTGTTTGAAAGCTAATCCATGATCTCTGCAGTAACTACCCTGCAGTTTTGCTCTGTAAATAATATCGCTCTTGACCTGAATTATTATGAGTGGACAGAAAAAGGCACTTCTGAAGTGTGATTCATTGTAAGTGTTCATCTCAGGATGAGGAAAAATGAGATACAGAGGTATCTGTTTCTCTGTGGTGGATGTAGTAACCAATGTGTATCTAAATGTGGGTGTTCGCTGCTTTGCGGAACTGGACTAGATTTCTGGTAGGGAGGTGGAAGGCTCCATGTCTTGTGAGCAAACCAGTAACATACTTAAGGCTTCTTCCTGTAACATTTCAGAAATACTAGGAAAATACTGCTTCTTAAAACAGCCTCTTTCCCTTCTTTCCTCTGTGCCCAGTGAACTGCAGTTCAGCTCCTCTAGTACTACTACTTCAGAGAGCCAAGAACCGTCTTCCAGGGATCAAGCAGCGAGTGCGCTTCAGCAGCAGCTCCTGCTGATGGTGGCACGAAGGACCCTTTCGGAAAGCCCACGGGTACGTTGTAGTATCTCTGTTTCTAGCATCTTGATGAACTACTTTATAAACAAATGCTGCAGGCTTGTTCCTGAGACAGTTTTGTTGATTTTCTTTACTACTTTGCTTGGTATTGCTTTTGTGGAGAAGATGTATTTTATCGATGGATGCAATTCAGCTGCTTTCTGCTGACACTGAGTAGCATCTTAGGGGTGTATTTAAAGACTCCATAGCCTACAAAGTTCATCTTTTGTGTTCTATCTTCATTCTTATTTTGTTTAAAAGAAAGAGAACACAGCTGTTAGGGGTTTAGATGAACCACCTGATTTTAATAGTATAAAGTGTTTATTTCAAATTCATTACTGATCTAAAACCTCATGTCTGGTTTCACTTTTCTGTATCAGGCATCCAGGCTTCTGGATGTCTGTTGTGGAATGTCAAACCCATCTCCTTGACGTAGCTGGCAAAAGAAAAAGGCCCTCAGAGTTCAGTTTGTATGGTAATATGTGGACATGAACTTTACAGTGTTTGGGGTCTGTGACCAATGGCTTAAGGCTGTAATCTGTTTTTACAATTCCATTTATAATACGCTTAACCTTCTCTTGTCTTCCATGACAGATGCTAACTTGATATTTCTGAATAACCTTAAAATGACAGTTAATTATCTTTCATCTTAGAGTTTGCACAGGAGCTTAAAGCTAGAAACAACCTGTATAGAAGAACTATATTAAATTTAAAATAGGGAAAAATTTCTGAATTGTGTATTTCATATTTGATCAGAATCATTCATTTAAGGGTATCTATCTAAGGTATTTATAATCTTGTAAATCAGAGAGCAATAGTCATACTGTTCCCCCCCACCCCCTTCTGAGAAAACTGCATCATTTAAAATACATTGCTCCAGATCACATAGCAAGTTTGTAACAAGGCCAGGCAGTAATTTCAGTACTTCCTGGTTTCTGATTTTATTTTTTTTTATTAAACATAGAATTATGAGCCTTTGTAAGTCAGGAAAAGTTTTGTCATCAATTTCAATAAAGCTAGGGTTTCGGGCTCTCTCTGACACAATATAACTTATGAAGTGAACTTTTATAAGCTCTTTTTCTGATAGAAGGCATAATTAGGCTTACTGACTTGCTCAGGGCTAGTCAGAGAGTTTCCCAAACACAACCCCAGAACCTCATTCCAGCCTAAGTACTGCAAGCCTCATGTAATGGACCTCATCCAAATGTTACAGTTCCTCAGGAGCCAAGATGTTCACTTACGCACTCAGTTAAACATGTGTTAAGCTGTTCTGAAGACTGAACAGTGAGATCCTCAGGAGTTGTTAGTGGACTTTATGCCACCATTTGGATTTTTTTGTTTAGTTTATTTATTTATATTGTGAGCATCTAGATCAGATGAGTGAAATTAATGATTGCAGTTGATTGAGTTTCACATTACTTTCTGTTGGGGAAATAGGACCCAAGAGAAAGAAAACTGTTGACAGTATTACCAACTGTATTATTTTGAAATACGTTTTTGTTGTAAAAAATGCCTGAACTCCACAATTTTAAGTGACCTGTTGAAGCAGTAATAGAAATATTAAAATTTGGAGCAACTAAACTACTTTTAGCTGAATGGCCTGGCATCCCCTTGAATGTCTGAACTCTCAGAAATATGAGTGAGTTACTGTCATGTGCTGATAATGGCTGAGTTACCCAGCACTGCATGGCTGTACACTTTCAGTCAGTTGACTGCATGAGATAAACTACATAAACTTGAATTTCTTTCCCCAAAGCTTAAGCTAGCCTGTTTTACCTTGTACTTGCCAGCAGACTGAGGATATCAATGAGTCAGTTCCCAGGACACACAACAATAAATTCACATGTGTCACATGTAAATTACGAGTCATATTCCTCCTCCTGGAAAGTGAAAATTAGAAATTTTTCCAATAATCTGAAAGAAAATTTAACAATTCCTTCTTGCAGTTTGTTTAAAAACCCCTGTGTCTTGCTAACAGATACAGATCAAGAAGATTGTCAGCTACTTCACACAGAAATTCCCTTCTCTGATGAGGAAAGTTAATCTAACACAAAGATTGCCTGAAGTTCCATAATAGACATATTTGTTATCTAATTTTGATTAGTTATCTTTAACAGTGGGTGGGGGCATAGAAGGAGATTTAAACCCACTAGACTAGACAGTCACTAGGAAGCTCAAATTCTTCTTGAAAGAAAAACAAGTCATTCCCTCCCGCCATAAAATCAATTATTGGTGTTCCTTGTAAAGAAATCACTACTTTGCAGAGGGCTTTTTTTTGTTCTGTTGTCTAGCTTTGCAGGCCTGGCTGATGGTCTGTAGATAAGCCTCCCTCCCCACAAGTGTTAGTGAAGGAGTGCAGGTGTGGAGTTGGAGATCTGAAATGCTGTAGTTCAAGCAGACAAGAAAAGGCCTTAGAGTCTGTCAAAAGCAATTTTCAAAAGGATGGATTTATGATTGTGATGGTAAGATCTTAAACTAGTGATGTTTATGATGCTTGTGCTTGTTTGCAGTTTGTTTTTTCTCCTCTTGCTGTTCTTGAGGGTGCACACCTGATGTGGTAGTAGAAGCATCTTGGGAAAGATAAACAAAGCTGTGTTCTGGAAGGAGAGCTGATGAGTCACGCCTCTAGGCTTTAAAGCCTACTTGATCTTTTTGATTAAAAAGAAGGCTCTGTCCTATCACATGTGATTTTATGTTGTGCTGTAATTAGTCTGACACATAGAAAAATCTCCAAATAGAGATTTTAGACAAGCAGTGGATTAGGGCAAAAATGAGTTATTTTTAAATGGGTGTTTAGTATTTATGTTTAAAGCATATTAACACTAGTGAGCTCAAAAATTGATGCAGCGTCTGTCCGTCTTCAGTTATGAAGCTGGTGTGATATTTTCATTTCTAATTTAAAATGAAAGAAAATAAATACGCTTCCGCTATTTCTTTTTTGAAAGAAAAAATCTAAAAAAATCTGAACCTTTATGTAAATTTGGCCCTTTAAGTACCTGCTTTGCTGGCAGCCATATGTCAATGTGAAAGAGTTTGATGTATTTCTGGTTTGTTTGTTTTTAAAGCAACCCAGCCAGGACCCTGAGGATTCTGCATGTTCTTCGGCACAACGGAAGCTGAACAGACAGTTTTACAGATTTATTATATTCCCTGGCAAATGGATCAGAGTCTGGTATGATCGTCTTGCCTTGCTGGCATTGTTAGACAGGTAAGATTTCTTTTTTTAATGCAGCTCTATGTAGTGTTACTGTGGATGGCTCCACATGTTCATAAAGCAACGAAGACCACTGGAGAAAGAAAAAGTGAGCATTGTATTAGTGTTTTATATTCAGGTTGACCAGACAGGTACTGGTTTGCTTTACGTTGAAGAAAGTGTTTTTCTTCGGAGTTGGTTTTGGTAGTTCTTGCTACCCTTCGTCTTTAAGCAAAGACTTTGATTCATGTGAGCACCAGGCCTGTCGAATAGTCTTGAATTTCACTCTCAGCTGTTAGATCAATGGTTCTGAGCTTTCTGATGAGAGTTTATTTTTTGTGTGTGTGCAAAAATAGAGAAGTAGATGGGTCCCAGGGTATTGTAAAAACAAAGTACTCCAGTCTTTAAGGAAAAAAAAAATAGTGGTATCAGGAGGAGCTCTTTTAGCTGCTCCCTCTGTTTCCAGGTCAGCTTTATTTGTTCAAAGAAAATTTCTTGCTGAGGCATCATTCCTTTTTCTAGTCCTCAAGCTTCATTTGACATTGAATCTTTAGGTAATGTATACTGGCAACACAACCAGTACCCTTTGCTAGCAGACATCGTAGTAAGCTGCTGGACTACTAGGACTGTAAAACATGTTAACCTACATACCTAATGCTGCTGGCTCTCCTATCTGCTATTGGGTGGGTGCTATGCCATGTATTTTAATGTGGGCTACACATCAGAAACTCAGATGAGGTTTATTGCTGCAGAAATCAGGCTGTATAGTCAGCAAGCTGAGGGCCAGAGCAGATACTTATCTGTGATGTCTTATCTCTCTGTTTCAATCACATGGAAAGCATGTTCTGATAAACTCTTGTTGCAGCTTAAATATTAACATTGTTTTTTATCTCAGCTTCTATGTTCTAATAGAACAGATAAAACTAATAAAACATCAGATGATAAATTGGTCTTTCATCTAATTCTTTGTTGTCAGATGTATATTTTTCACTAACTGAATGCCTTATTTCCTCATTTAAATGTTGTTTGTTTGGGTGTGGGTTTATGTTTTTTTTGTGGTTGGGTTTTTTTGGTTGTGTGTTTGTGGGGTTTTTTTGTGGGTTTTCCTGAGCAGTTACATTTGAGATGTAAGATTGGAGGGTGCTGGACTTCAGTTCATTGCCTTTTTTTCCTATGCATTTTAGCTATCATAGTGGATAAGGTCTTTGACACAGGGGTGAAATAGTGTTGAACAGGGAAATGTAGTTTTGGGAGCATAACCTCAGATCCTGTAAATTGTGAGAGCTCCAGCACTGACAGTTTATATCACCTGCAAATGGACCTGCCTTGATCTAACAAATACATAAATATTTATATTTCTTTTAACATCTTTATTCACATAGGACTGAAGATATAAAGGAGAATGTATTTGCTGTATTTCTAGTAGTTCTCGTTTCACTTCTTGGATTCCTGACTCTGAATCAAGGCTTCTGTAAAGACTTCTGGGTTCTGTTGTTCTGTCTGGTGATGGCCAGCTGCCAGTATTCTCTCCTAAAGGTAGGAGCCAAGTTGCTGAATTCTCTTCTAACTTTGACAAAGACAAAATTCCATAAGCAACCTTTTTTCTTCTGTTTTGTTTTTAGAGCGTTCAGCCTGATCCTGCTTCACCAATACATGTAAGTCTCAGCCAGTAGAACAAGTTTTTCTCCTTTATTATCACTTGTGTACTGTGAAACAGTTGGCTGTTCAGTGAAACACAGGTGTAAGTAGTTTGCTGTTCTATGAGATTATGAAAATCAGCAAGATGTCTGTGATTTTAGACTTTGTACTATGTTTAATAAATCATAAGCTATTTGAAAAGTGCTTTTCCTTTAAGCTAAAATGCCTCTGGAGTAGTTTTCTGAAATTGAATCCTGTGGCATCAGAGAAGCCTTTTCTTTAGTATACATTATAGCAAAGTACAGTAAAGAAATATTTCTACTTCCTTGAGAAGCTGTTTTTTGGGGGGACTAAAATAATGTTGCCTGTTAGTTCAACTAGCACCTGTCCAGACATAAAAAGGTGACCTGTAATGAAATCGTTTGCAGTTATTCAGACATTGTTTAAAGTGGGTGGCAAACAGGTTAGTCAAATCTTCATTATGAACCTGTCTAGCCCATACTTTCTTATATTATTGAAGACAAGTAGCTAATGAAGTTAAAACTGAACACTTCTTATGCATAATACAGGTTTGCATTTCAGACTCCCACAATATTGTTACAAGTGTTATTCTCAATATCATATTCTGTAAGTCATGCATCAATCTAGCAAAGTAACAAAAGGTGTATTCCCATCTTCCATATGTTTTCCTAAAACTTTTTCAGGGATGTTTTCTTGCAGACTTTCTGGTGCACCAGATAAACTCTAATGGAAATAAAGCTCAGAGAGTTTTTCCACAGAGGGTTTTAAAGGTGGGAGGCATTGCAGATCAAGTTCAAGTAGAAAGCCATCTATTTTTACATCATATGCTTGTAACACAATAAATATTTGTGAAAGTTTGCTTGAGCTAGTAAGCACCACAAAAATAAGACAACAAGTTGGTGAGAAAAAATACTCCATGTACTGTTTCATAATTCATGTGACTATGTAAAAATGAAAGAGAATAACATCTCTTGATGTTAATGTAAGGATGCAGAACAGCAAAGGGATTAAAGAATGATCAGTACCATGTCCATGAATGAAAATGAAAATGCAGATGAGATTTTTCAGTGTGAAACAAACCATCACGAGCCATAAATTTGCACACTGAATTAATTTCTGTTCTTGGATCCATGAGTAGCCGCTAATGCCTCATGTTTTCCATGCCTGCCAAGGAGGTTCCAAACTTCTTCCCTATCTCTCACAAGCAGACTTTGTTACTGTTTGATGTGACTTTGTCACTTCTAGCCTATACTGTTTTGAAAAACTCTACTTTAAAATACTATCCCATGAATTCAGAAAACACAGTGCCTAGGGATGCATAAGCTTTTGGTCTTAACTCCTTACAAGCAGCACTGTATTCACTTCCTGGTGTCAAGAAAGACCTGACTAACCAGACCCTACAAAGTCTGGCAGTCTGGTACAATTCTAATGGAAATAAGATTACTCCTTACCCCCTTCTCTCTCCACCCACATACCATGCTGTGACAGATAGGGTCTCTGAGTTGAATGCTGTGTATTGTCTGTATACTGTCAATGTGTCAAGGCGTGAGTTTCAGCATATAGAGAAGAATCTAATTCAGCTAATGTTTTGAAATTTTTATTCATTTATACTCACTGGTTTGTGGTAATAGTTCTGTTCTGATTGGCTTTAGTGCTTTAAGTTGGAACTTCCCAGGTTCTACAGCTAACGCTGGCCAGTGGTGTTTATTGTAGTTGCAGATTTAGTACTGTTGCCTGCTACAAGACGAGAGCCTAGTATTTCTGTCAGCCTGTACTTCAGCTTTTCTAGTTCTGGAGCTGGTGGCCTTTAGTTGCTGTTCTCACAGGGCCATGTGGTTCTGGGATAGGGAAATTATGGAACAGCCTTCTCACTGGAGTGATGGGGAGAAGAAAACAGAGTCCATCCCAAGTGTGAGTTTTATTTTATCAACAGCAGAATATAGGGACTGTAATGAATATAGTGACTGTAATGTATTAAATTCAGAGATACAAGATATCCTTATCCTGTGCATTTCAAGGTTTTAGACAAGTGGCTCTGACTGAAGAGTTCCTTAATACTGGTTAGAGACAGCAGCAGATTGGGCAATAAAGACAGTGTGGGTAGTAAATGGGTATATAGAAGGATCATAAGAGCTTGGCTGTGAGTACCTCATAAGACATCTGATTAGCTCATGACCTAGCTCAGGTTTACAAAGGCATTTGAGCTTTGAAGGATTGCACGCATACTCTTAATATGATTCACAGAATTACTTGCCTCACTTCATTGTCTCAGTCCCATTACCTGGCATAGCAGTAAGCAGTTTCATAAATCCCATAAGGCACTTATAATGTATTTTTAATTTGTCCCTGTAAGCTTTTCTGTAGAAGCGAGCTCACACACATTTTATATAAAGCCTTTTGTCTTTTTCCTCTTGCATGTGTGCACCCACAAGGAAAAAAAAAGCATTAGATCTTTCTGAGATTCCCCCATCAAAATGCCTTGCAGTCAAAAGTGCTATTTTATTGTTTATTGTTCTAGCTTTGTTGAAAATCCTAATATTTTTATCAAAATACAAGATGCACCAGTGCTGTGTTTGTAGGATGTGAATATGTTTCTGAAACATTTGTGAGAAATATGGACTGAAAAAGTCAGTGACATTTTTTGACAGGCTTAGGGAAGGAAGATTTTTCACTAAAATTTTTCTCGGCAGATTAAAAAAGATTGTCCAACAAATGAGATGAAAAACATAAAAGGAATCTTGCTTTGTTATTGAAATTCTTTTGAGGAAGGCAGAGTGTAGTAGTTTCACCAAGATGAAATCTGGTTTGCATATCAAAATTTGCATGTCAAAATGCCATATTAGAATTTATCTAGTAGGACAAAATGAGCCTTTAACAGCTATAATATCTTAAGTTGCACTTCCACATGCTGATTTTGGTGAAGGGCTGCCTAGCTTGGCCTGTCAGTGGATGACACAAGAGCTCCTCTGCTTTTCCTTTGTTTCTAAAACCTTGGAAAGAGGAAATGTAATGTCCATCCACTGGCTGTGGGTTTCAGGAGGTGATGCACCATCCCAGTGATTCTCTTTCTCCTAGGTGTGTGCTGCCAGCCTCAAGCTAATCTTGTCCCAGATTATCTGCTCACACAAGGGATGTAGATGCCACTGTAATACAACACTAATACCCACAGCCATTCCTCTTTCTTGTGTTGCCTGCTCCCCAGATGTGGATACTGGAGTATTTGTTGTGCTCTGGGAAGCTCATTCAGCTCCAGCACACCCCAAGCAGTGTGACAGCTGTGCAACCAGTGTCCTTCCGGGTGCATTACTGCTGCACTGCTTTGCTTCTGTTGATCTAATAGATCAACAGATCTATCAAGATTTCTTGTTCAGGATTCTGTCTCATTCCCCACTGCCACCTGAAAAATAGGGAAGGTTGTATTGGCTCACATTTTGCTATGTTCAGCCAGCCTTTGAAAGCTTCTTCCTCAGTCCTAACAAGCTTTATTGATGTTAGCATGGTAAGAGTGATTTAATTAGTATATAATAGAATAGAGTGGAAGGGATGATCATCCAGTCCAACTGTCTGATCAAGTCAGGGCTGACAGAAAGTTGAAGTGTGTTAAAGCATTGTCCAAGTGCCTCTTTAACACTGACAGACCTGGAGCATTGATCACTTCTCTAGGAAGCCTGTTCTGGTGTTTGACTGCTCTCTCGGTAAAGAAATGCAGTCTGATCCTCTCTGGTTGCAGCTTTGAGTCATTCCCATGTGTCCTCTCACTGAATCCCAGGAAGAAGAGATCAGCACCTCACTCTCTACTTCCTCTCCTCTGGAAGCTGTAGAGAGCAATGAGTTCATCCCTCAGCTTCCTCCTCTCCAAAATAGACAAGCCCAAAGCACCAGCTCTGTTGCCCTCTTCTGGACACATTCAAGGACCTTCACATCCGTCTTAAATTGTGAGCCTCAGAAGAGCACATAGTGCTCAAGGTGAGGCCACACCAATGCTGAATATAGTGGGATCACCACCTCTTCTGACTGGCTATTTGTGCTGTGTTGATGCATCCCAGGATGCACCTCTTGGCTGCTGGGGCAGAATGCTGACTCACACTGAGCCTGCTGCTGACCAGTACCACAGATCCCTTTCTGCAAGGCTGCTCTCCAGCCACTCATCTCCCAATTTAATGCGTGTGCCCAGCATTACTCTGTCCTAGGTCCAGAATCTGGGATTTCGACTTGCTAGGTTTCATCCCATTGATCACAGCCCAATGCTCCAATCTGTCTAGATACCACTGCAAGGCTTCCTGTCCCTCAAGAGAGTCAACAGCACCTCCCAGTTTAGTATCAACATCAAATTTGCTAATGGTGCATTCAACTCATGCATCCAGATGGTTGATAAAAAACATCTGGTTGGTAAATTGAACAGAATGGCCCCTCAGATTGAGCCCTGAGGAGCACCGCTGGTGAGTGGTTGCCAGCCTGGTGTAGCCCTATTTACTGCAACCCTTTGCACTCTGCCCTTCAGCCAGTTCTTCACCGAGCACTCCATAAACTACTTCAGAAGTAAGAGTTAAATGTACACTATAAATGTAATCGAGGATGTCAGTGTACTGCTTGGAACTGAAAGGTGTATGGGGCTAAACCTCTGGATTTAGTCACCAACTCCATCTTACCCAACAGTCTTCAAATAATTACCAGGCAAAGATAAAACCTGGGCTCCATAATTCAAAAGAGAAGACAGGAATGTAACATAATGATAAAAGACTTTGGTCTGGAGTGCACATCAGGATATAAATCATTAAGCAATTGTTTAGATGCAGTGTTTACTGGTTTCTTTTCCTAAAGTACATCTCCTATTTAAGATAAATGAAGTTTGAAACCAGCTAAAAAGTAATCTTTTAAGTGTTGGTTTGGGTTGTTTTTTTTTTACTTATGTTCTTTCTTCGATTATTTCATGGACATGTGTCCTATTTTAAAATAATGGAAAAAAGGCATTGTGAAATTTAAACTCTGATTGAACAACTAGGATTTGTCACTCCGACTTGATTCATATTCCATGGATGTGAGGTACAGTATTAGCCTGCTAATTCCCTGTAATCTGCCACCTTGTTAACTGGTTGATCCCAAAAGAGAGAACAGATCTGTTAAAAGCAATGCTAACTTACGATTTTGGCTGGCAGCTAAACAAATACAAATCAGTAAGACTCAAAAAAGAAATATATTTTGTTATACTCACTTAAATTACATGTTAGAATTAAGAATGCAGCAGCTTTAGCAAGGCAAACTTGAATCTTTGTCACTTTGCTCCTGGCCTTTCACACTCAAGGAATCTTTTGACTCTCCAGCATTTAAAATGTCTTCTTTACCAGGAGAACTATGAAGACATTTTCTTAAATGTCTATTATCCTCCATGGCCCACAGCCCCACAGCAGTGTTTTGTAGGATTAGTGCAAATCAATTGTGTGAGAGATGTGTATGAAAGATGTAAGATAAGGATGCTTCTGTATATTAATTCCTTTGGATTGTCATTTCAAAGCGCTGCATGAGAGACAGCTCAGAAATTGCTGATGTGTCAGCCCCCTCCAGGAGGGGCACTGATTTGTTGTCAAGTGGTTCAAATCAACAGAAAAAAAATTGAATTCTACTGGTGCAAAAAATGAATCTCCATGACTCACAATGCACCTTGGAGGTGCTCTGCTGTATTTTTAGTTCCCAGGATGCAATTAAAAATTAATTTCAGAAAAAAAAGGAAAAAGAAGACAAAAAGGCCAAGCTACCTGAGTAAAGAAAGATTCATTAAAATGAAAATAATATAGGTGTTCAAACAGATTGCAGGTTTTTTTTCTCTACATAAAATTATTACTTCTGCAATTAGATTGGTTGGAAAGGTCCAGAAAGTTGTATTTTTTCAAAAGCATAAATGATTGCTGGAGTTAGTCTTAACTGATTTTTGTGCCTTTTGAAAGTCCTCTGGGGAAGATAAAATACCTTGTAACATTCTTCTTATTAATTAGTGTGTATAAGTCTTTAAAATATTTTTCTTACTCCTGCCCCTCTCTCCAGTTCAGTGCAGTGCACGCAGTAGGTGAATGAATACAAAATTCAAACACTTCTTTCTTTTACTTTCTTTTTCTTTTTCCAGGGGCACAATAAAATCATAATCTACAGCAGACCTGTATATTTTTGTATATTATGTGGCCTTATTTTGCTGCTAGATGCTGGATCTAAAGACACAAATCCTCCAGTTTATACAATGTATGGCTTGAAGCTCTTTTCGCCTAGATCTCTCCAGTCAGCCAGAGACCATGTAATAGGTGAGTCAATATTTTTCCTAGAACTGTAAAAATGAATTGAGTGTTAGCCAGGGAAGTCTGTGTTTTCCCATGTTGGCAATCAAACGCACATTGTGGAGGCACAACTCTAAGTCAAATTGATAGAAACATTTGGAATGACTTAAGAGGAGGGGGTCGGGGGACAGCTGGCAACCTTCCCTTACGTAAAAGGACTTCTTAATGAAGTAAGGCTCATAGACAAGTCTCTATAGAAAACTAAAAGTCACTGATGTTATTAGCAAAAGACATCATCTGTGAAATGCAGTTAATCTTTGTAAAGGCTTTTCTGTGCAGAGCAGTTACCGTGGAATAAGCTGAGTTTTAAATGTAATGCCTAGAAGCTAATCCATGCCGAGTCCTCAGATGAACATACTTCCATTCATGAGGAACACGCTTTTTCTAGATTTAATTTAATCTCGCTGTCCTTGTGATGTGTTAGTATGGAACAGCCACTTCACAGTAGCTTTTCCAGCCTGTTTCCTTCTGGAATTACATTCTGTGGTGGCTGAGGATGTTCCGATATTGCCCCAAAATGGGACTGATGATCCTTTGGCACTAATTTGGAGTGGCCACAACTGGAAATACCCCATTCTATCAGGACACTTCTTCCTGTAACACACTTGCAGTCTGTAAATGTAACACTGCTGTAGTTGTGTCACAGGTACGAGTACTGAACTGAACTCAGTTCAAGTAGTGCCACACTGATAGGTATGAAAAAAGAAAATTTTAAGTATACATTAGAAGTTATGAAAACTTCCCTGTGTCATAGTGTGCCAAAGATGACCTGTTGCTTTGTGAATTTGGAACCAGGAAAGCCTACTGTAGTAGAGGAGAAACTTTGTGGCATTAAGTGTATGACCTTTGAGGTCTTGGTTCACCTGTGACAGTTGTACTTGCTTTTTGCTGTACTCGGGTCAGGCTATTACTGCCTGGAAGGTGTACAGTTTTAAGGAAAGGCTTCTGGTCCTCTATATGGGTTCATTGACTCCCAATCCTTCTCAACCAGAAACGGGAATAATGAAGATGTGCAGCTCACTTATTTTCATTAGCTTCTTTCATTATTTTCCTTTGGTCTCATTAAAGTTTCTTCTTACAGTATCACAGTATCACAGTATGTTAGAGATTGGAAGGGACCTCAAAAGATCATCTAGTCCAATCCCCCTGCCAGAGCAGGAACACCTAGATAAGGTTACACAGGAACGTGTCCAGGCAGGTTTTGAATGTCTCCAGAGAAGGAGACTCCACAATCTCCCTGGGCAGCCTGTTCCAGTGTTCTGTCACCCTCACTGAGAAGAAGTTTCTTCTCAAGTTTAAGTGGAACCTCTTGTGTTCCAGTTTGTACCCATTGCCCCTTGTCCTATCATTGTTTGCCACTGAGAAGAGCCTGGCTCCATCCTCGTGACACTCCCCCTTTATATATTTATATACACTAATAAGGTCACCCCTCAATCTCCTCTTCTCCAAACTATAGAGACCCAGCTCCCTCAGTCTTTCCTCATAAGGGAGATGCTCCACTCCCTTAAGAGCCTGGCTCCATCCTTGTGACACTCCCCCTTTATGTATTTATATACACTAATAAGGTCAACCCTCAATCTACTCTTCTTCAAACTATAGAGACCCAGCTCCCTCAGTCTTTCCTCATAAGGGAGATGCTCCACTCCCTTAATCATCTTAGTTGCCCTGCTCTGGACTCTCTCCAGCAGGTCCCTGTCCTTCTTAAACTGAGGGGCCCAGAACTGGACACAATATTCCAGATGAGGTCTCACCAGGGCCGAGTAGAGGGGAAGGAGGACCTCTCTCGACCTACTAACCACCCCCCTTCTAATACACCCCAGGATGCCATTGGCCTTCTTGGCCACAAGGGCACAGTGTCGGCTCATGGTCACCCTGTCGTCCACCAGGACCCCCAGGTCCCTCTCCCCTACACTGCTCTCTAACAGGTCGTTCCCCAGCCTACACTGGAACCTGGGGTTGTTCCTGCCCAGATGCAGGACTCTACACTTTCCCTTGTTATATTTCATCAAGTTATTCCCCGCCCAACTCTCCAGCCTGTCCAGGTCTCTCTGGATGGCAGCACAGCCTTCTGGCGTGTCGGCCACTCCTCCCAGCTTAGTGTCATCAGCAAACTTGCTGATAGTACACTCAATTCCCTCATCTAAATCGTTGATGAATATATTAAATAGTACTGGTCCCAGTACTGACCCTTGAGGCACTCCACTAGATACAGGCCTCCAACTAGACTCCGCCCCATAGACTACAACTCTCTGGCTTCTCTCCTTCAGCCAGTTCACAGTCCACCTCACTACCCGATCATCCAGACCACACTTCCTCAATTTAGCTGCGAGGATGCTGTGGGAGACTGTGTCAAACGCTTTGCTGAAGTCAAGGTAGACCACATCCACCGCTCTGCCATCATCCATCCACCGTGTTATTTCCTCATAAAAGGCTATGAGATTGGTCAAGCATGACTTCCCCTTGGTGAAGCCATGTTGACTGCCCCTCATAACCTGCTTATCCTTGATATGCCTTAAGATGGCACCAAGGATAAGGTGTTCCATCACTTTCCCAGGAATGGAGGTGAGGCTGACTGGTCTATAGTTACCCGGGTCCTCCTTCTTGCCCTTTTTGAAGACAGGAGTGACATTTGCTTTCCTCCAGTCCTCAGGCACCTCTCCCGTTTCCCAAGACTTGGTAAAGATGATGGAGAGCGGTCTAGCAATGACCTCTGCCAGTTCCCTCAGCACCCGCGGGTGCATCCCATCTGGACCCATGGATTTATGGATATCCAGATTGCTCAACTGGTCTTTAACCCATTCCTCATCGACTAAGGCAAACCGCTCCGTTGACCTATCTTCATCCGGGGTCTCAGCGGTACAGGGCTCTTCAGGACTGCCTCCAGCAGAGTAGACAGAGACAAAGAAGTCATTCAGTAACTCTGCCATCTCTGTATCTTCTGTCACCAGGGCACCCGTCCCGTTCATCAGCGGGCCTACATTGCCTCTGGTGTTAGTTTTATCTGCCATGTATTTGAAAAAGCTCTTTCTGCTGTCCTTGACCCCTCTCGCCAGCTTTAATTCCAAGGAGGCCTTAGTCATCCTAGCTGTTTTCCTACATCCTCTAGCAGCAGCCTTATATTCTTCCCAAGTGGCCAGCCCTTCTTTCCATGACCTGTAAACTCTCCTCTTCCACTTGAGCATACCGAGCAATTCCCTATTTAGCCACGCAGGTCTCCTGACCCTCTTCCTTGACTTCCTACGTGTCGGGATGCTCTGATCTTGAGCTCGGAAAAAGCAGTCCTTGAACGTCAACCAACTATCTTGGGCCCCTTTCCCTTCAAGCAGCCTAGTCCATGGGATTTCCCCTAGCAATTGCTTGAAGAGGCCAAAGTTTGCCCTGCTAAAGTCCAGGGTTGCGATTCTACTTGCTATTCTACTGGCCCTACCACACAAGATCCTGAATTCCACCATCTCGTGGTCGCTGCAACCAAGGCAGCCCTCAACCTTCACTGCTTTGACCAGACCCTCCTTGTTAGTGAGGATGAGATCCAGCAGCGCACCTCTCCTGGTTGGCTCATCCACCATTTGCATGAGGAAGTTATCATCCATACACTGGAGGAACCTCCTGGACTGCGGCTGGGTTGCCGAGTAGTCCTTCCAGCAAACATCAGGGAAGTTAAAATCCCCCATGACGACCACGGCCTGTGACTGTGAGGCCGCTCTCAGCTGCCTGTAGAAGGCCTCGTCAACTTCCTCACCCTGATCCCGTGGCCTGTAACAGACCCCCACAACAGTATTGCCCCTGCCAGCCTGCCCCTTAATTCCCACCCACAGACTCTCAACTCGCTCATCATCTGTCCCCGGACAGAACTCAACGCATTGTAGCTGCTCTCACACATAAAGAGCAACCCCACCACCCCGCCTGGCTGGCCTGTCTTTCCTGAAAAGGACATAGCCCTCCATGACTATATTCCAGTCATGTGAGCTGTCCCACCACGTCTCTGTAATTGCCACCAGGTCATAATCTCCTGACTTAACACAGGTTTCTAGCTCCTCCTGCTTATTTCCCATGCTGCGCACATTGGTGTACAGACATTTCAGGGAGCGAGCTGAGCACACCGATTTCACCCTAGGATTACAGGAGGCCTCCCAGTCATCATCAATTCCGGAGCGCTGTCCCACTGAGGCAAGCCCAGCTACAACCCCATCCCCCTTCGAATCTAGTTTAAAGCTCTCCAAATGAGCCCTGCTAATTCTTGCCCCAGCATCCTTTTGCCTCTGTGCGATAAACCTTTCCCACATGCCAATGTCCAGACTGGTGCCCTATAAAACCAGCCGTTATCAAAGAATCCAAAGCCCTGCCTGCAGCACCAGCCTTGAAGCCAATTGTTTATGGACTGAATTTTCCCATTCAGTCCCACATCATCAATAGAAGATGGAAGGAGTGAAGAGAAGATCACTTGAGCCCCAGAGTCTTTCACCATCCGCCCCAAGGCCCTGTAGTCTTTCTTCATCCCCCTCAGACTGCGGGAAGCAGCTTCCCCCTCACCCGTCTGGAAGACCAGCAGTGGGTAGTAGTCTGTCTGGTGCACCAGGTTGGGGAGCGCCCTGGTGATATCCCTGATCCGGGCTCCAGGCAGACTACACACTTCCCTATGATGAGGGTCAACTCTGCATATCGGGCCCTCTGTTCCTTTCAGAATGGAATCACCTACTACAATGACCCTTCTTTCTTTCTTACCAGAGGCAGTCTTGAGGTGTGAAGTCGACCACTTTTTCCTATGTGGCCTTGTAGGTGGGCCTTGCACCGCATCCTCACCTACCTCTCCTTCAAGATCCAGGGCCTCAAACCTATTACGGAGGGTCACCTGGGGAAGCGGGGCAAGAAGGGAGGAGGGCTGCCCACGACGCCGAACCGGAACTCGCTTCCAACCCTCATCATCTTTTTGGTCCCCTACCTCTGGGTGACAGCTACAGGACAGGGGCTGTCTCGGGCCATCACCCTCTGTCTGAGAGG